TCTGTAGCCATCAAAGAGAAAGTTAATTGCTCTCTTTTTAGGAGACATTATCTACTATTAGCTGCAGTACAAAGTGTGCTCTTATATATTATCTGGTACACTGATTAAGTTGAATGGGGTGGTGAGAACCTATTCACAGTGTTAGAGCTAATGACCCAGTGCATTAGTCGTGATAGAGAAGGCACATTTGGAGACAAATGTCTTGTTTTAATTGCACTATTGTACCATTTGAATAAAGAGAGTGGCATTTATTTCAAATTGTCTGTTAAGTAAAGTCTGTCATTATATGAGTGGTAAAGTATCATCTCTGTCTCCAGACTAACTAATGTTCAGTAAACATTTTCCTTTGTTGATTATATCCATTCGGGGACTGTAGAATCATCACTGCTAATGAATTCTAAATGGGCATTGATACCAATTATGATTATTACACTTGGAAAATTAGGCAATATGGGAGCCTTAGAAAAGGTGGTATATATGTACTTTTTAAAAAGTAGCAGTGGGGGAAGAAGGGGGTCCTAATATATGGTGACAGGAGAAGATTTGACTTTGGGGGTTGAGCACCTCGTGCAATATACAAATCTTGTAACATAGACACTCACACTGAATCCTGTATGTTCATGTTGACCAATGTCACCCCAATCCTATATAATAAAAGCCTAGGTGGCGTTGCAAGATGTCATCACATGATGGCCACCCCCCATGTTGTCACAAGATGGCCGCCACAAGAAGGCTGCCCCCACATCGTCACAAGATGGCTGCCAAAAATGGCCACCACAATATGGCCACCACAAGATGGCCAGCAGGGGAGGGCAGTTGGGTGTGACCAGGACAGCAGGGTAGGGCAGTTAGGGGCGACCAGTCCGGCAGGGGAGGGCAGTTGGGGGCAACCAGGCCAGCAGGGGAGGGCAGTTGGGGGGCGATCGGGCCAGCAGGGGAGCAGTTAGGCGTTGATCAGGCTGGCAGGGGATCGGTTAGGGGGCAATTAGGCAGTCAGTCAGGCAAGCAGTTGGGAGCAAGCAGTCCCGGATTGTGAGAGGGATGTCTGACTGCCGGTTTAGGCCAGATCTGTGGGATCAGGCCTAAACCGGCAGTCAGACATCCCCCAAAGGGTCCCAGATTGGAGAGGGTGCAGGCCGGGCTGAGGGACACCACCCCCCCCCCCCGCATCAATTTCGTGCTCTGGGCTTCTAGTAAATTTAATAAAAAAGTAACAGTACCAATTAACAACAACTAAAGCCTGTATTCAAGTCCTCATGACAAAAGAGACATAGAAATAAATAAAATATTTAGGAATGTGAGTTTCTCAAGGGAGGGGTTTTGTTTGCTTTGTTAACAGCTATATCTCTAATACTTATAAGAATGCTTAACACATAGTATGTGATCATAAATATTTGTTGAATGAATAAAATTCATATATAATATCCTATGATCCATCTTCTCCTGAGTACCTAAGGTTTATTTCTGTCTCAGGCCCTTCAGGCTGCTATGTCAGAAATGTCATAGACCGGGTGGCTTTAATGACAGAGATTGGGAGGTGAAGCTTAGAGCGATCACAGATCCCGTGTCTGGTGAGACTGCTTCTCGTTTCATAGATGGCTGTCTTTTTGGCTGTAACTTCAAATGGCAGAAAGGGTGAGGGTGCTCCCTGGGCTTTCTTTTATAAGGACACTAATCCCATTCATGAGACCTCTACCCTCATGACTTAATCACCTCCCAAAGGCCCCATCTCCAAACACCATCACATTAGGTAATGGGTTACAACATATGAATATGGGAGGACACAAATATTCAGACTATAGCATCTTCAAAACTATTTATTGTCTTGATTCATTAGGATTGGACTCGAAATATAATATTAAACATCCATCTCAATTTATTCAACTGTCTGAGTGCCTGTCCTCAGATATTAAGAGGTGTTGGTTCCCTGTTACAAATTTGACAAACTAGGTTTTAAGAAGTTAGGAAATTTTGCCACAGTCAAATAGGGTTAGGGTTAGGGTTTCAATTACTAGCAACACATTGGTAACTCAGATCTCTACTTCCATGTAGTCCTTACTCTTGAGCTTGAGTCCTATAGATTTCAATGACTTACATAACATTTCTCCTAAGATATATACAAAGTATTTGAAACTCACCCTGTTCAGACCTCAACTAAACATCTTATTTTTGGAATGCCCTCGTCCGTGAATGTTATAGTAGTTAGAACTCTGAAGCAGTATGGCTCCAACACTTACTGGCTGTGTGATTTAGGGCAAACTACTTATCTTATATTCTTGTTTCCCAATTTGTATGATGTGAATAATAGCAGCCATATGTACCTCAATATTTTGTTTTCTTAATGAGACTATGTGGGAACCCTAATCAAACAGACTACATGGAGAGGGCTGAGAACAGTGCTAGACAAATAGAAAATATAAATGAATGTCAGCTATTACTTTCAACCCTGTTGCTCTAACACGAAACCTGGTGTCATTCTTGAAACTTATTCCCTAACCCCTCTCATTTACATCCAATCAATCATTACCAAATCCTAGTGATTTTTTTTCCAACTAAGATCTCCTTATGAACTGCCATTGCCATTGCTACAATCTTCTTCCCATTTTTTGACTGAAAAGCATGCCCTGGCCAATGTGGCTCAGCTGGTTGGAGTGTTGTCCCGTGCACGAAAGTGGCAGGTTTGGTTCCTGGTCAGGGCACATACCCAGTTGTGGTTCAATCCCTGGTTGACAGAAGGTAACTGATTGATGTTTCTGTCTTTCTCTCTCCCCCTTCTTCTCTCTAAAATCAATAAAAAATAAACAAACAAACACTCTTTCTCTGTCTTTCTCTCTCCTCCTTCTCTCTAAAATCAATAAAAAATAAACAAACAAACAAGACATCCTGGTAACTGACTTTCCTAGTCTCTTCCTGCTCCCTCCTTGGCAGTCTTCATAGTACAGACAAATCTATTACCAATGATCTGATCCTATCACTATCACATTAGTGGCTCCCTTATTGGTGCTAGTAGCAGGGCTGAGCTCTCCAATATTAGAACAATGCAATGAGAGACACTGTAAGCCACTGTTGCTGAGCTGCTGGAGTATTCCTCCAAGGAGAGAAGCAGAGAAAGCCTTTGATTCTATCCACCATCCCAGCTGAGACTCCTGAGATCTGAGGAGAAGGACCTATCTTCTATTCCTTTTTCCTGATGATTCTTTCAAGGAAGTTAAAAAACTCTGGATGAGAGCTTGGAATAATTAAGGGGAGTCTAACTAGAAACAGAACACTCAGACAGTCAGGTTGGAAGATGTGGCCTGGGGAAGTGCGAAAGTTAAAGGCTAATTATTTTATCTATTTGCCATGTTCTTGTTTGGTGACAGGGCTTATTAATGTCACCAGAACAAAACTTAAATTGAAAGACTGATTTCTATTTTTTACTTGTTTAAGTGTTTGTATTGTAAAACTAAAACAAAAGGCAAAAGAGGGATTTCTTTTCAGTTGAGAATTTCACCTAGAGCCTAGTGTCTACTCAAGAGAAATACTTCAGAATGAAACAGACCAAAGTGTTTGGCCTCCAGGCATGCTTTCCTAACAATTAAATTGGGCTGCCTTCACAGGAAGACATTTCCTGTCTGAAGCAGTCTGCCCACTCGGTGTGAGAAGATGTAGCTGATTATCTTCCTATAATCAAGGAAAAACATTTAGGTGTTCTGACTTGGAAGGAAAACCTGGCTGTGGGAGAGAGAAAGCTTCAGGGCTAAGAGGAAAAGGTGGGGGAGAAAGCCAGAGGAAGGAAACTGACAGAATAAAATGAACTAAATAAAAAATCCAAGGTGCAGTGGGAAGGACTGCTGGCATTATTCATTCTGGTAATGTGGCCTCGCTCTGGGTGAAGGACTGAAGCTGCTCATCTCACAGGAAGAAGCCACTCTTGTGTTGTTACTCAGGGAAATGTCCCACTAAGGGTACACTAGCAAGACACTATTGTGAAAGTTTTGAGTATTTTGTGTAGTGCCTGGGTTTGTGGAAGCAGAATGTAGAGTAGATCCTGAGAGATAAAAGAAAAATGGCACTGGATGTAGTTAAACAGGCAAGAGAGACTTTATTCAAGACAGTTGCAACCAAGGGCAGGAGTGTTGTGAGTGCTGAGGTGAGCAAGTGAGAATCACTGGAGCTGTCAGGGGCGTGCTGGTCTGTGTGATTAGCTATCTGTGCTTGCTAATTGGTGCTGATTGAAGCTAAGCTCTTACCCCTCCTCAGAGACTGGAAGATAGAGATGCTGTCTCTTTTGATGATTACCTTTCAAAGGAAGGGCGCCCAGGTCCTTGAGAAAGACATTCCTGGGTTGTAAAACTTTTTAAAAGATTTACTCAAAGGGACAGGGGAAGAATCTCAAAGGGGCAGAGAAAGAATTTACAGCAGAAAGTTTTCTAAAGTAAATGCTTTAAGTAAAGGGACACCCGGGGCTGTTGTCAGGAAGAGGCCTTTCTAAAGTTCGGCGAAGCTGAGTTCAGTAAATCCATCTTGGTTAACCTACTGTAAGTTAGGCGTCTGATGGGGTGTTCAAGAGGCCAGTGAGATCGGTAAACATCTAAATGGCTGTGAAGCGGGATTTTTGGACTGGAACACGCGGTGTTCCCCTGGGCAGAATGGTTCCCGGGCTGTTTATCTGTTGGAGTTGAAGAATGAATCCACGGAGGAAGGTGGTACAGCAAAGGTGGAAATTTATTGAAGAACAAGTACCGATTCCCACGTGGGGAGGGGAAAGAATCTCACAGCACAGACACCCACGTGGGGAGGGGGAAAGAGTCCCACTGAGTTCCCTTTTCCAAGGTTTATAAAGGCTGCAGAGCTTTGTGCCTTGATAGCCCTTCTGATTGGTCACTATTCCCTTACACGGGTTACTATAGTAACTCCTGAGCGCAAAGGTTGAACCTCACAGGGGACCTGTGAGGTTTTTTTCTCCCCTCCTCCCTTATTGTTTTCCTATCCCCTTTGGGCTTTCTTCTTCTCCCTTTGAATGAGGGGTTTCCTTCCCTTTATTTTGTAAATATAGACCTTCTGCTGTTTCCAGCTCCCCTATTCTATGGAAATATACCTTCTGCTGCTCTGCAGCCCTGTGCTTCTTCCATGGTCCCCTTAATTTCCAAAATTTCTAAAGCTGTCTTTTTCACCCCTAAAAATTCCTGTTTCGGTTACTTCTCTAAAAGTCAGCTCACTGACTCCAGTGATAAAGGGAGTGTACTGGTTCCTGTAACTGGAACTTGCAAATAAAGCTCGGTTTGTGTTTCTTAACATCTCTGCTTTGCTTCCATGATCCCCGCACCATTCTATCAAGGTGGCTACTGGCAGTTTCCAGGGCTAAGACATTCCTGTTCATACCGAACAGAAAAGAGAGTTTGGGCTGCAACTCAGGAAAAGGAAGAAGGAATTTTTCTTTTCCAGAAGCTCAACAAATATCTCAATTCTTACTGGCTCTTGTTCAATCACGTGTTTGTCCCTGTAGCAGACAGGTGGCCAGGGAGATGGACTTTGCTGTTCTCATTGAGTTCAGGGTAAGTTCCATCCTACCCAAAGGGTTTGGCTGAAAATAGGGATGAGATGTGTATTAGTTTGCTTGGGCTGCCATAACCATGTACCACAAACTGGGTGGCTTAACATAATAGAAATGTATTCTCTAACAGTTTGGGAGGCTAGAAATTGAAAATCAAGATGTTGGGAGGACAATGCTCTCTTGAATGCTTTAGGGGGGATTTATGGCATGCTTTTGTCTTCGATTGGGGGCCCTGCCAGCAATCCTTGGCATTCCTTAGCACGCAGCTGCATAACTCCAGTCTCTGCCTCCATTGCTGTATTTCATTTTTGTTCACCTGTCTGTGCCCAAATTTCCCTCTTTTAATAGGATACCAAATATATCAGATTAGGGCTTACCCTAATGATCTCATTTTACGTGATTATGTTTATGAGCACAAATCCTAGGATTGATTTGGAGGACTTTTCCCCTCCTTCATATGCCTGAAATTGTACTTTTTAGGCAGAGCTAGAAGTGGAAAAATCAGGCATCTTATAAGAGCCAGTTATTGTTACTTCCTTCACTATTTGTCTTCTTACAGTGTCAGTTGTATAATTCTGCTCCATGATTATCTTGAGTGTTTAACTTTATTCCCTTTATTTTTCTCAGAATGTTCACTATATGTGTGTTTTATTTCATAAATGGGAAATACTCCTTTAGGCTATTTTTTTAAATAACACATTCTCTTTTAACTTGAAGTCAGCTCACTTACCCTTGTTTATGCTGAAAATCTCTTCTTTTAGAGAACTCTCTTTGGATAATTAAATAACTGGTCTTCTTCCTTGTGTTTTGAACCTGGAGGCTTGCCCTGACTCTGCAACTGATTTTGATGCAGGTAATAAGATAAAACTACTTTTCACTCTGCTTTCCTGTTTCCTTAGATAATACATGTGGTAGAGTAGACCCCACTGGACAAACCAATTGTGAAGGCCACTAAAAAGCTCAATGAGGGCTTATTTCAGTCATCTTTGAAGAGGAAGCTCTGAAGTTATTGTTAATAAATGAAACCAGTGACTCCTCAAAATAAATGATTCTCTTGATCTATGAATACCATGGATAATTCTTTCAGGAATGTCCACTCTTTCCCCACTTTTCTTCCTTAAAAAAAGATGTTCTCATGTTCTTGCAACACACAGAGTCACAGTCCAATGTGTATCCTCTGCGACACACACACTTGCACGCACACAGGAAGGCGGCTCTCCTCCTGACATTCTGGGCCAAAGTTGAGAATGAATTACTTGGAATCAGTGTGCCAATGACAGGGACTACAAACCTGATGATTCACTCAGTTCTTGAGGAAAAATCAATTATGTCAAATCACCTTGCAGTATGGTAGGAAGCATTGTGTGTACAAGTCAATTCAACATTAATATAGTACTTTGTATTTGACAGTGCTTGACACTGAATGAAATCTGACTGTCTTGCCTCATACAACAGGCATGATGGGCAGCACTTTTATCATTTTACTACTACCCACTACTATTTCTACGTCTACCACCACCACCGCCTCCACCGTAATGATGACCGCTGCTACTTCTACAGAACTAGGTAACTTTTCTAAGGCACTCAGTATATGTCACACACTGTTCTGATTGTGTTCATTTAATACAACAGCTCTTATGATGGAGGGACTATTAATATGTCTATTTTGTAAATGTACAAATCAAAGCACAAGGCAGGTAAGTAACTTGCTCAAAGTCCATAGCTAGTAAGTGGCAGAATGGGGATAAAAATTCTAGCTCCTACCCTGTACTGAGCATCTAATTAATACTGCCAGATATGAAGTGGATGCATCAAAGGTGTATTTACTCTGTATATTTTAATGTGTTATTGTAAGCAATATGAATAATTTGCTAGCATGAACTGCTTATACAATCATATTGGTTTACTTTTTCAGTTAATTGAAGGAAATGGGCCCACTCTTATTAATGGTACTATTTTCTTTTGAGGCCTTCTATTCCCACTCTCCCTAACTGTGCAAGAACCTAAAGGGTTTATTCAGTCCCACAGAATTGGTTCATCTTCCACACACCAGGTGCACAGTGGGGTTATCTGCTCAGTACCCTCATTCTTGTTGCTCCTTTTCTCCTCAGTGCAGTGTAGTGTTGCTCTTGATGATGGTATCCCATGATGCCACAGGCTCCTTTTCTGCTGTCATTACGTCTTACCAGTTCATTCACTCAGCAAATGTTTTTAGTGATTACTTATTATGTGCCAAGCCATGTGCTGTGCTACCAGTGGGACCACAAAGAATCACCAAGAGAGACAAACTCCCTCTTTATGGAGATTACATTCAAGTAGGAAAGGCTGATGGCAAATAAGGAAGCCAATAACTAAGTAAAGTAACTGCAAATCATTATTAGTGCTTGAAGAAAAGCAGCAGGAAATAAGGGGTGTGGGTTTATTAAGAATAATCAGGGAGGACATCTGAAAGGAGGTGCCATTTAAACTGAGACCTGCAATTAGGAAATGTTCTAAAATTTGTTTATGATGATGGTTGC